TTGCGTGTGAGCGAAACGATCCGCGAAGCTGAAGGCTCGTCTACTCATAGTCAATAGCAACGTCTTGAACACTGGGCGGAGCGCTTTGGGGTAGAGTTTAGCTGGTCACCAGCGTCCGCTTCTCACACAACTACGTCCCGTGGTCTGTCTCAGCAGACCCACTTGAGGCGAAAACCCGTAGGGAGATTCAAGCCTTGAGAAGTCACACAGCATCGGTCTCCGATGGCCTTTCCCCAGTTCCAACAATGGGATAAAGCTTGTTGGAGAAGTGGTGGCTCTTTTCTCTAAAGTTTGGCAAGCAGAGCAGGTCCCATCCTCGTAGGGAAGAGTACGCATCTTCGAAAACGGCCCGCGTGGTGACTGTGCGATTATAGGAGTATAAGCCTTATCACGACGTTGTCCGTCATTCTTAGTAGGTTGTATAACATGCATGACGAGCAGACCGGTGGGAAGAAGGCTGAGTTTTGCGCCGGGTGTGGATGCATCAATCAACTCTTTACCCTAAGACAACTGCTAGAGTACCTTCATGTCTATCAAATGTAAATGAACATTGTGTTCTCAAACATTACGCAGCCTTCCACTCTGTCGATAGAACCGCACTATGGAACTATTCGTCGAGGAATGGAGTACCTGAGAAGTACGTGTCGATCCTCAAACAGTTGTATCGTCATAGTTCCCGTCGGGTAAGGGTATATGACCATCTTTCACCACTCTTCGCAGTCTCCGGTGGAGATCGACAAGGCTGCCCTACATCGCTATTACCCTTCAACCTTATCACAGAGGATGTTCCACAGAATGCTTTGTTCGGTTTATAGAACAGTGGAGAACTTCTCATAGGGAACAGAGTACATGACTTGGAATACGCCAATGACATCCCTTGCTGGGTGGCAACATACAGGCAGTCCAATGCGATTAAGACCAGTTGGCGATTGATGTAACCAGGTATGGTATATGCTTTGCACTGTCAAAATGAAAAGTGCTTGTCCAAGACTAGCAGGAGCCTGTGCATGTACTCACTCACTCACTGTGGTGATCAGCTGGAAGTGGTTGAGAACTTTAAATGCTTCAAGAGCTTGATAGCAGCTGGTAGTGTTGAGGAGATTGCATCACTAATAGCAAAATATAGAGGAGCTTTGATAACCTGTGACAACTGTGGCGCCGCCATGACATCCCACTGTCCCTTAAAGGAGTGATGTGCATCGCTGTGCTTCGTAGTGTTTTGATCTACGGTTGAGAGAGATATGGCCCAGAATAGAAGTCAAAGGTGCGAATGCTGTACGGTTTGCCTGTTGAAATCCCGTGTCCCGTCAAAACACTAGACCACAAAAAGTACCAAAATTGTACGGCGAAACAAACAAACAAATTGTTATTCTCATGATATATATATATATATTCAAACGGCACACTCGGAATTTAGCCCTTTTCCAGTTTTAAGGGCTCATAACCAACTTATCCTTCCTTGAGAAACATCTCCAGACTTAAATATGGAAGTTTAATGCAAACCTTTATTGCACAGCATTGAAAACTGAGAATGATCACAGAATTGAGTATATTCTGTCCACTATGATCTATGAAGGTTTTGGCTATTATGGTATCATAATAATAAAGTGCACTTGATGACTCCGAATAGACCGTACACACGTGACTGAAAACTGAGCTCGTCGGAAAACCGCGTTCAAGGGAAACAACGTAATCGAAAGCAAGTGAGATAACCGTTACTGGTTATGGGTAGTACAATGATTCTTCTTCCATATTCTAACCTCTCATTTTTCGCTGTGCAATCTATTCATAATTTTCTGGTAAAACGTGGGTACCATAGCGTTTGTAGACGTTGTTCGTTTTTGTTGTTGTGGTTGCTTACTGAAAGCGAACAATGCATTCATTATGACCAACGTCGGCCGACATCAGTGACGTTGGTATGACCTTGGTGACTGATTGTGCTCCTTACGTTATGCTATATAAGTAGGCACGAAGTAGAAGTGGATCGCCCACACAATAAAGGGAGTTGAAGTTATTATGATGACCTGTGGAAAGTGACTTGTGCAATTTCGTAAACGCTGTGGAAAGGACAACCGCAATTAACGTTCACCCTTTACACAGCTGTTAGCACAACAACCGCCGGCCTGTTAGCACTTCTACGTTATTGTGGCAAAGGCGGCGAACAGTGCGACAGGGTACACACATACAGATTTGCAACCACAATACTAACCTGCTCTTCGTCAAATCCAACACCCACAGCCAGCGCGCGTAACACACCACAATCCAATTGATTCTGTGCCTGCTCCGCCTGATGCGCCCGGGCCAATTCACTATGCTCCGGATATTGACTGCGGAACAGTTCGTCAAATTGGCGTTCTTTCGCTTTTGTCTCGTATCGAGTCATCATGGCTCGATAGTGCTCCACATTTGGTGAAGCTTGCATCCATTGGGTTGCAATCACCTGGACAGGTAAGTGAGAGAAAGAGGGTCGGCAAAATGTTTGCGCCAGTATGATCAGCCACTATTCCTCTACACACCTAGGGTTCAGTCACCTCTCTCTCCGCCACCACTACCACAGAAAGCCCTGATTCGTATGTGATTTTTTTCACACTTGTGAAATCAAATTGGTTGCTTCTAATGGGTAGAATGCAGTACAATGGTGTTTCGGTGACCGGTCAAAAAACAACATCTAGACAGAGAAATACTGTAGGACGAACTGGGAGAGAGATGGAGAGGAGTGAGCTAAACAACGTGGCGCATATTTTGTTACCTTGTCAACACACACACACACACACCATCTAATTAGGTGGGTGAAAATCAAATCAGCAAGTGCTAATCACCGGTGACTGCAAAATAGCATCAAAAAGGCGAAACATCTATGAAAATATGAGGAAGTGTATGGAGCCCGATGAATGGGAAGCACGATGATTACGTGTATACCGGGAGATACGGGCCGATTTCTTTTAGTTCGCCATAGACGTTTGCTGTTGAATTGAATTACACACGAACGGGCAACACGAAAACAGATTAGGCGAAGCAAACGACTGAAGGGTGAACAGTTAAATTGGCAATACATCCATTACTGTTATAAAATATCACGTCATTTTCAAACGTCACATTTGGGAGTAGTGCGTAGCCCAATTTACAAACAAGTGGGCAAACGAACGTGATTTGAAAACGACACAAGACACCGATAAACGGTTAATCGTAATCGAAACATTGCGCGCCAGACGCCGGTTATCATGCGCTGTGACAATGACCAGATGGTCAATAAACGGGGTCATCATTGATTTGGCAACGCGTGCAAGTTGCACTGACATTCACGGTTCCACACTGAAAAGGCCCGTCGTGGGTTTCGAATGAGAGACNGACAAATTATTTGCCGTACACATGGAGGGATACTTTTTTCTTGTAGATCTTGGTGAGGTAACTTTTAGTTGTGAACAGTATAGACACAAGGGTCCATTATTGAATCATATGATGAGACCTAGAGTGGTAAAGCACATGAGATCATTGTCAGATAAGCGTGGCACTTGCTCGGGAAGTAACAGAGTCGTCTAACACTAAGATACTGACGACTTTCTATGTATTTACATGTCATGGAATCCCTGAACAGCGAAGGGCCGTATTTCCGGTATTCGATATTGTGGATCGATGTATCATGGAATAACAAAGGGATCGTAATCATAAACTGGTGAAAAGCATCAACTAGATACAATGTAAAAGATTACTAACCAACCTGGCGGAGTTTGAAACGTCTAGCCGGATCAACTTGAAGCATGCACCGGATCACTTGTTCACATGTGGTGGAGAGGAAGAACGGGAAACGTACCAGACCACGAAGCACTTGACTGCGAATATCGCCCAATGATTCACCGGGGAACGGGAATGATCCACAAACAAGTATGTAGAGAATTACACCCAAACTCTGTTAATGGGTGAGAATAGAGGAATGAGAGGAAGGTTGGATCATATGCGATCATAAAGATCAAGCGGAGTTCACATAGAAAGAAAGACAGATCAATCCAGTGTTTGCAACTAGAAGATAAGGCCACCGCTTCAGCAGTCCCCTATTGTGTGTACCTGTTGCAATAGTGGGCGACTATCGGAAAGTGTTCGGGAATATCATCCAACCTTACTGAACACCGGTGAAAGTAAAAACCCCATATGTGCCATCGTTTCACACCTCTCGCCGAATCCAATCACACAATGAGTGTGAACGAAGCGATGCTCGGGGTGGAAGATCCAAGCCGATTGAATAGCTTATACAAACCACCGCTGGGGCAGTTGGAATTTGTTCAATTAAGAAAAACCCTCTCCTTATGGATCCCAAACAGTTTGTGAGTTCACTCAAACTCCCATGGCCCACCACCTACCCCACAATGCAGTCCCTCCCCCAACACACAAATAGTTCATATGAGTAACACGGAATACACAAAAATCTGACATCAGGAACAGACACACATGACATGTAGAAGTTAGATAGATAACAACATAATCCCCCGTATTGGTATTAAATCTGTTATGCTTTTTCTTATTCAAAATAATGTGATATATTAACCAACCCGAAACTTCATCAAAAGAACTCTGGCTCAAAGAAAGAAGGGAACAACAGACAGGGAATCGGGAACAAGAACGACCCTGCCGTACATCAAGGACGTTCCGGAAATGACATGACCCACTATCGTTGAGTTCCCTCCAAGAAGATCAAGAAGGACATTAATTTGACTTCGAACCAGTGAGAATTATCGACTAAACCCGGTCAAAACACGCCAGAGAATTTCTCGAGGCCTGGCACTCTTCAATCAACTCAATAAACAGGCACATCGAACTGGATCACGTGTACACGCTAATGCAACTAAAAGACCAAATGACGCAACAAAGGTCACGCCGTGACCTGAGAACAGACGGAAACCGCAATTAGGACGAAAGAACAACTTCCTCCCCTCCCGACCCCGCCCGCTCGCAGCAGTTCAACGACGGACCGAATCGAACAGTGAGAACAGGGGACGAAAATAATCCGTGGAGAAGAACGCATATATAAACGAACGGGTACAGGCAGAACACTGCCACTTCACACGCATTGATGATGTCACCTCAGGTGGTGATGAACGTTTGCAAACAAATTGCCAAGCTCGGCGAACAGGCGAAATGGAAGTGAGTATCATGACAATTTCAAAGTCGTATACCGAGTATAAAGGAATTGATCTATGCTTGTTCAACAACAAAAAATAGCAATGTTATGTAAGCAGTAGTGATCACACTATTGAAGCCATCCTTGTATGTAGAGGA